ATTGGAGGGAGGGGAGAGAAGGAAATTGACATTCATCATGCACCCCTTGCACACAGAAAAACACACAATGCATTACACACACTGCATTACACAGACACACATACACAAGCAATGCAACCGTTACACACAATGCATCCCTTACACACACAGAAACACACAATGCATTCATTACACACACTCAATGCACCCCTTACACACACTCAATGCATCCCGTACATACAGAGAAACACACCTTGCAGCCCTTACACATACAAACACAGATTCACACAATGCATTCCTTACACACATATCAGGACATCCCCTACACACTCCACCCCCCGGGTGCCAAATGCTCTAGGTATGCCCCTGCTAGAACCATTCACCAGGAGGGGTGGGTCGAGGAAGAAATAGACGTCGGGGGAAGGAAATTATATGTTTACCATGAAAGTAATTGTAATGCTGAAAGTACTGTTGAAATCTCATGCCAGCCACCGCCTTATAATGGCGTTTGGCACGGAGGGAAGGAGGTCAGCCCAGTCCCTGTGACCATGACCTAATTAACCTGTTTCAACAGTCATCGCCCCCGTGCTCTTTATATTCCCCGCCCCCGTCATGCCCTCCCTGTCCGCCCCTGATACGTCCTCCCTCTCCGCCCCAACTGAGCCTGCTCCTGTCACTTCCGCCCTTGCTCTGCCCTTGCTTCCTACTCCTGTCACTTCCGCCCTTGCTCTGCCCTTGCTTCCTGCTCCTGTCACTTCCCCCTTGCTCTGCCCTTGCTTCCTGCTCCTGTCACTTCCGCCCTTGCTCTGCCCTCACTTCCTGCTCTTTTCACTTCTGCCCTTGCTGCACCCTTGGCCGACAGACCCTTAGTGTCCCTTGCTTATCCACCCGTCATCACTCCTTATGGGGGAGTTCAGGTGCTGCCCACTCCACTCCAGCCCCTACGTACCCTGTCCAGGTACGATACTAACGGAGCGGCCCAGGCCCCTAGTCTCTCCGAGGCCGCCAGCTCTCATGGATATCACATCCCACCCCTTGACGATGGTAGCCAGTATGGTGGCTCTATCTCCCAACCCCCTATAGAGAATCCTAGAGTTCCCCGGGACAAGAACCCCAAAGTCCAGTTTCTTACAGGTGGGGCCCCTTTGATGTATGTTTCATTCACCCCGTCCCAGACCGCAACTCTGGTGGGCTCTCTCCCAGATCCAGAGAAACAGCCCATGCCCTTCTACCAAAGGATTGCCCAAATTCGAAAGACCTATTCCACGGCATGGCATGATTTGTTTAGCCTCTGTGAAATTAAAGCAGGTGATGCCTATTGGCCCACTATGGAGAGAAGCTTCTCCAATGCTCGACTCACTAATGAGTCTGACTTCACCTCCGGTGTTGAATTCTGTGAACAACTTAAACTGTGGGCTCAAGATAAATTAGCTGACCAGGCTACCTGTATTAACAATGTCATCCAGGATAAGACAGAATCTGTGGAGAAGTACCACTCCAGGTTGTTCAAAATCTTCTCCGACCTGGGTTTCAGTTTATACAACAAGGCCCATACCCAAATGCTCTCTGCAGCCTTCATGGCAGGCCTTAAAAAATCCATTTGAAAAGGCCTAATCCTGTCCAGCCCTGATTACAGAATCATTCCTCTGGATACCCTCCTGCTGGTTGCAAAGGGCCTAGAGTCCTCCCAACTACCCCCACCTAGGAAGTACACCCACATCAACCTTCAAGCCTCCCTGAGAGCCAGGCTCTAAGCCATCCTATGGGTCAGCCTCCTATGCAGCAACAATCACAGGGAGGGTGTTATAACTGTGGTCAATCTGGTAATTTCAGGAGAGACTTCCAGCTCCTAGGGCGACTAGACAGTTCATGCGGGATGTGAGGCAGCCCCACCCCGCAGCAAGTTATTCCCAGTTCTCAGCCTCCAGTTGCCCTGTAGCTCCTCACCCCGCTCCATTTACCCTACCGCCGGTTATTCCCCTTCCCCACCCAGCCAGCCTGCTGTCCGGTATCCACCTCCTCCCCCTGCATCAGCCAGCCACCCTTACACTGGCCCAGACCGTGCTCTTGTACAATAGGTAACTGGCAAAACTATGTCACCCACCCCTGTCATGGCAGTGTCTACAGGGGATAAGGGAGGGCCCCTAGCCATGGTGGTCCTGCCTGTGGAGGGCCACCCAACCACTTTTTTAGTTGACACAGGCGCAGCCCGAAGAGTCCTTAGAGAACAAGACCTGCCTGACTCCTCTTTCCTCTCCAATATTGATGTTACATGCGTAGGTGTAGATGGCACTCCCTGGAGTAGCCCACTAACTAAGCCTTTACAAGTGGGCACCTACCCAGACCTCCTGGCCCGTTTTGTGGTTTCCTCTACCTGCCCAATTAACCTGTTAGGAGCAGGTGTCCTCTCCCGTCTCCAAGCCTATATCTCTTTTACCCCAGACGGCCAGATACAATTGTCCTTCCCCCTGTCCCCTACTGACATTTCAGCCCTCTGCTCCATACCCCTCCTGCTGCATATGGAGTCTCCTAAAAGGGATGTAAGACTCCTAGACGATCCCCCCAGTGCCTTTGACAGAATTCCTGCCAAGTTGTGGTCCACCGGCCCAGATGACATTGGACGCCTTCAAGTCCCCCCCGTCGTGGTGAAATTACTCCAAGGTGTCAATCCACCCCGTAAACTGCAATATCCTCTGAGGTCTCCCCAGGCCCTTGCTATCTCCAAACAAGTTGAAAGTCTGTTATCAAACGGTGCCCTGGTCAAATGTCTCCCTGCAACACTCCCCTATTCCTCGTGAAGAAGAAGACTGAAAAGGGTGAACCAGAAAAGTACAGGATGGTCCAAGAGCTATCAACGATGCAACCATTCTGGACACCCCTATTGTACCTAACCCTCATACTCTCCTGTCAGGAGTTCCACCTACGGCAAAGTATTTTACAGTAGAGGATTTGGCTAATGCCTTCTTCAGTGTTCCTCTACACCCTTCTTGTCAATATCTGTTTGCATTCACTCATGACCGTCAGCAATACACCTGGACTGTCATGTATCTAATAAAAGACCACCCAAGTGCAGCAAAAATAGTATAAAATAAGGTAAAAAATTACTTCCCTTAAAAAGTCTAGGTTGTAACAAGAAGTTCCTCAGAGCTTCAAAAAATGCATACAAGATATAAGATACACCTAGATAAAAAATAACAAGAAAGGAACAATCATAGGGAAACACCGTTTAGTAGATGGTACCCTAAAGTAGTATTGCACTCACGAAATAGTGATGAAAATCAAGCCCATCTAGATTTTCTTTGATGTTGTCGAGAAGTCTTGTGAGGAGATGGTTGATGCCTCAAATGAAGAAAAACCGAACATAGTATAGAATTATATGGTAAAAAGAAATTACATTTTATTGGAAACACTTACACAAATTGTAGATAAAAACGCCCATCAAGTAAATGTCTCCCTTGTAAGGTGGTAATCAGAGGTTGCAAATACAGAGATGGCAAATCAAATAAAATAAAAACAAAATAAAAAAAATAAAATAAAATAAAAACAGCTCTACGCGTAGAGCTGTTTTTATTTTATTTGATTTGCCAAGACTCAAGATATGCACTAGGCGTGGCACATGACTTTGGACTAATCTGGAAGACAAGGGGATTCCTCACAGCAACTGGCACACCATTTAAGCACAGCACGGCTATAAAGGAGCTGATGGACGCCCTACTTCTCCCTGAAGAAGTGGCCATACAAAAGGTAAAGGCTCACGGAAGACTGAACTCTGAGGAAGCGCAGGGCAACTATATAGCTGATGAAGCCACCAAACAGGCTGCGTATGTGCCAAGGGAATTGGACAGAAGAGTGCCCGCTGAAGAAAATCCCATACCCATACTCACCATGCTGACCTTACCTACAGACCTCAAGCTCCTGAAGGAACGACAAGCAGCTGCTGATCCTGAAGAAAGACAAAGCTGGTAACAGAAAGGGGAAACCCTTAAAGATGGGCTGTACTCCAACAATCTCAAGTTCTGTTTACCCAGAAGCATGTACTCAGCAGTGGTCCAGTGGGCCCACGGGGCTGCACACCTGTCTAAGACCCTTATGAATTCCCTGATTAGTAAATACTACAAAGCACCTGGGATCACCTCTCTGACAGACAGATCCTGCACTGTCTGTGCCAAATGCAACCCAGGCAGGGTGGTGAAAGCCCCCCCCGAAACATCTGGGCAAACCCCATTACCCCTTCCAGAGGATCCAAGTTGACCACATCCAAATGCCAAAGAGTGGCCGGTATGAACATGCACTAGTTGTAGTGGATATGTTCTCAGGATGGCCAGAAGCCTACCCAGTCACTAACATGACAGCCAAGACTACCGCCAAACGCCTGCTCACCGAAGTCTGGGCAGCACTGGGGGTGACCCTTGCATTCCACACACCCTATCACCCACAGAGTAGTGGCAAGGTAGAACGCATGAATGGCACCTTAAAAGCCAGAATGCTTAAGATGGCCCAAGAAACTAACCTTCCCTAGCCCGAGAGTCACCCCATAGCTCTGTTTAGTGTAAGGTACACACAGAGAGGGAGGTTTGCTCTATCCCCTTATGAGATTCTGTTTGGTTCAGCCCCTAGACTTGGGTGCTATTTCCCCCAGCAACTTCCGCTCCAGTCTGACATGTTGGTTGATTATGTAACTTTCCCGAGCGTTGACCAAAATCCATGCACAAGTGTTTTCTTCCATTCCAGATCCAGAGTCTGATACAGGAACCCACCGACTGCTTCCTGGTGATTGGATTTTAGTTAAGAAATTCGTGAGGAAAAATACTCTTGATCCAAGATATGATGGTCCCTTCCAAGTCCTCTTAGTCACAGCTACTTCTGTTAAAGTAGCCGGAAAAAGCACTTCGATACATGCCTCCCGCTGCAAGAAGGTTACAGCCCCAGAGGAAGCGGACTGTCCCAAGCCATGAATCTCCTGCATATCCTTCTGCTGCTAGACCTGATAAGGGCCCAACAAGTTGCCATTACTAAAGAAAATGTTTATACATTTTGGTACAACTCGTCTAACACACATGTGGCCACCTTTACATTTGACTATTGTGACATTGTCAGCTGTTCATTCCCACAGTCATTGCTCTCAACAGTATATAAAGACATACCCATCATAAAAGACCCATATATATGTATGACAGACGACTATTGGGGACATGACTGCAGTTCCTGGAGGGCGGCAGGTTGGAATGCAGGGCCAGCATGGGGCTACAACCCACAAAGTGCCCTAGATAGGATGGACAGAAATGGGGAATCCCTATTGTGTAGAATGACTTTACGAAATCCAGGTGGGGCAACCCCAATGAAACTCACCCTAAATATAGAACACCCCAGTCCCGGGGAAGCCGGAGAATATGTAATGGGTATGTATTGGAGAGGGGGAGGCTCCTATAATAAACAAGGAACCTTCTACCTACAAGATATGTATCAATCACCTGAGTGGGTGGATTCCTGGCATATGACTGTCAACCCTCTTAAACCACACATTAAGACTTTCAAGGACATGGTAGCCATAGCAAACCCCACATTCAAAGACACTATGGCCATAGAGACAGGTTTTTCAGACACTAACCTATGGCTTTAATGGATGAGATATAATGCTAACAAATATAACAAAACTAACTGCTACATCTGTGGAGGAGCCCGACCCCATCTAGGCACTGTACCCCTAAACTTGCCCCCCCAACGTAGAGACATGTTTCCTAAGCCTCTATGCCTATTATAGAACTAATTGTTCAGCTTGTGAGTCATGAAAGAAGGAATATCCTATGATCACCAAGAGTGTTAAGCCAGCCGAGGGCATTACTGTATATCCGGGAAACTACACCTGCTATGGTATTTACAATGGGATAGGCAGATTTCTGGGTAATTTCACTCATGGATATTGTGCTACATATAGAACAGTCCCACTTGCCTTGTTACAAAAACACGTTAGGTCCTTAGGAGACATATATTGGTTGTGTGGGGATTTGCAACTTAGATCAAGGATGGAAGATGTATAGTGGGGGGAATGTACCCTAGCTAAGGTTATTATGCCCATACACATAATATCTGACAATCACCAAGGTACTCCTGACACGCCACATTCATATTTCAGAATCAAACGGAGCACCCTTGTAAAGGGCAGTTTTGACCCACACATATATATAGATGCCATAGGGGTGCCAAGGGGGGTACCGAACGACTTTAAGGCAAGAGACGAAGTCGCAGCAGGGTTCAAATCTATTCTCCCAATCATCACGGCTAATAAGAATTTGAACTGGATTAATTATATCTATTATAATCAACAGCGGTTTGTTAATTACACCAGGGATGCCCTTCAAGGGCTGGCTGAGCAATTACAAGCTACTTCCCAGATGACCTTCCAGAACAGGATGGCCTTAGATATGATCCTGGCAGAAAAAGGGGGAGTATGTAAAATACTACCTGACACCATGACATGTTGTACCTTCATCCCAGATAACACAGGCCCTAATGACAAGGTAACTCTGGCAATAGAGAATCTCTCTGAGGAGTTAAAAAGGCATTCTGGGGTCACAGATCCGTGGGAAAGATGGTTTGGATGAATGAATGGTTGGAAGAAAGTTTTGGCCCAGATAGGCGGGGCTGTCTTGATAATGTTGGTAATCCTTGCTCTCATTGTCTGTTGCGTGCTACCTTGTATTAAAAAGTGCCTAGAGAAGACTGCAGATCAGGCCACCCCGACCTTCATTCACCAAGACATAGATGACGAAGACTATGACAGTCCTCATTCTCCGTTGCAGTCCCTTCACACCAATCACAAAGCTACTTCCTTTTAGAGATAGTAGGGATAGCATCTATCTTTACAGGCAAAGTCTGTAGCGAGGGGGGTAGTGGACAAGCCACTGCCCATCTTATGCGCAGCATCAAAAGAGTTGCAAGGCTTGTTAGACAGATGTGCTGCAGCCTCTTAGGGACATATGTAGATATTCAGTAGCCTATGAAGAGTGTTAGTAAATAGTCATTTTAAGGGGGGTACTGTTATGGATGTAAATTAGTGATAGTAAAATGTCTATTTACTGTGTATATCTGTATTCAATATTTACTCAAAATGGCTGCTAGGGAACCCCCTCCCACCGACTAACTACCTTGTGTAACAAGATGACGCCTACATCCGGAGTAAGGGAGCAGATACTCAAATAAACAAACACTTGGTTTGATCCACAACATTCACGACAGCTAACAGTGTTACAATGTGACTATTGATAAATTTTAAAAAATATATATTTAGAAACAGCAATGTCCCACATGTACTTATAGCCCTATTACTTGTAAAAAAAAAAAAAGCTAAGAAGATGTTAACATTGGGTATTTCTAAACTCAAGACAAAATTTAGAAACTATTTACCATAGGTGTTTTTTGGCGGTTGTAGATGCGTAACAGATTTTGGGGGTCAAAGTTATCAAAAGTGTGTTTTTTTTTTACATTTCTTCATCATAGTTTATGATATTTTTATAGTAAATTATATGATGAAAATAATGGTATCTTTAGAAAGGCTGTATAACGAGAAAAACAGTATATAATATGGGTGGGTACAGTAAATGAGTAAGAGGACAATTACAGCTAAACACAAACACTGCAGAAATGTAAAACAGCCGTGGTAAGAAAATTAAAAAACGGTCTGGTCACTAAGGGGTTAATCATTACTAAAAATATATATATATTTACTTATTACATTTTTATCGACTAAAAGAAATTAGATACCTAATTATGACAATTATAATGACAGTTAATAAATAAGCTACAAAAACTAATTAAAAAAACAGATAAATGTGATCTTGTGCAACAAACAGTGGAATAACTCGGTATAGACAGGGAATGGGTCCTGCGCATGCGCAGTGAGTCACCGTCGTCTTGTTCTACGGCCACCCATTCCGCCGCCATTATTTGTTTTTCCTCCTTGACCATAGAGACAGAAGGATAGAGCGCCGGAACATCTTTACAGCGCGTCACCATAGAGTGAAGTTACGGAGCTTTGACGTACGCGCCAGCAGAGTTAGAGTCGTCTGTGCGGCCTGTAACCCGGCAGCAGAGGAGAGAGCCCGGGCGGTGAGTGCAGGCAGTCCGGTGGTGGAGGGGGGGTACACGGTTTACCTTCCTCTAGCTGACACATATCGGCATGAGCGGCCGCAGAGATATTATGGAGCTTCATGTATGGTGCCCTGCTGGGCTTCACATCAGCCATAGCTGCCCTGCAGAGGAGGGAGCATGCTTAACAAGCTTCCTTATTCAATGTGTCTCTCAGTGTATTCCCAATACAATCACCGATACAGATAAATGTGACTACATATGGGATCAGCCAAGTAAATAAATAAATACAAGTGGTTTGAACAGAGTGTATATTGCTGGATTATAAATGAGTATGGCAGTGTACATGTTAAGTTGTTTTTTTTTTCTTTCACATATTGTAATTGTATGTAGGTTGTGTACATTATATATGTTTAAACTTTTTCAATAAAACACTGTTTTCAGGGAGAGTTTTCTGTGTAGTGCTCATAACTGTGTCCACTGTTTGAACCAATTTATTTTAATATCATGTGTTGTTTTTTTTGTTTTTTTTCTTGTCTGTGAATCACAGGTCTGATACACCACCGTGTCTGGCACAAGACTCTACCTATCCCACCCCCTGTTAACAATGCCAGCAGCTGTGGTGGATAATAGTCAAGTGATCTGTGAAGTATGGGCCATCAACCTGGAGGAGGAGATGCGTAAAATCAGGGAGCTTGTCCGTACATATGGATATATAGCAATGGTAAGGCCATAATGCTATCCTACTGTCACTAATTAGCAGTGGGGGCTGAGAGTGTCAGCTGCCACAATTAGTGCCACCCAAATTGACATAGCTAATTCAGACATGTAAACTCTACAGCAGAAATGTGTTTGGGGAAATTTATCAGTGTTGACAGCACTTTTTTTTCATTGTAACTGTCTGCAGTTTTTGGTGCCAACATATTCAAAGAAAATCCTTGGTCATATTTATATTAAATTGTATATAATGTTAAATGTGACAATATAGAAGTCAAGCAGCAGCGATGCTACTATTCTGTATTAAAGCTAACCATATCAGTGTTAAAGGGACAACTTAATGATGTTCTGGTAAGTATAGCCTGTCCCTGCAGCCTTTTTGCTGTAAACACTGCCTTTTCATAGAAAAGACAATGCTGCCTAGGCAGTCACTTAGATTTCCACTATAGGTTCTTCTTGGGTCAGTTCTGCACAATGTGCAGCAGTGCCATTCTGCATGGAGACTCTGAATTTTCCCCATAGCAATGCATTGATTCAACGTATCTCTGTGAGGAGATGCTGATTGGCCAGGGTGATGTTTGGCCCGGCCCTGCCCTGCCCCTTGATAATCTCCGCCAATCAAATGCTTTTCTTATGGGTTGGCTGAGATCATCCATTCTGAGGTTGTCAACCAAGGAGGCGAATCGGGGGCGAGACCAGCGCCGGCACATGGAATTAAAGGACCACTCTAGGCACCCAGACCACTTCAGCTTAATGAAGTGGTCTGGGTGCCAGGTCCAGCTAGGGTTAACCCATTTTTTCATAAACATAGCAGTTTCAGAGAAACTGCTATGTTTATGAATAGGTTAAGCCTTCCCCCTAATCCTCTAGTGGCTGTCTCATTGACAGCCACTAGAGGCGCTTGCGTGCTTCTCATTGTGATTTTCACAGTGAGAGCACGCAAGCGTCCATAGGAAAGCATTATGAATGCTTTCCTATGTGACCGGCTGAATGCGCACGCAGCTCTTGCCGCGCGTGCGCATTCAGCCGACGGGGAGGAGAGCTCCCCGCCCAGCGCTGGAAAAAGGTAAGTTTTTTCCCCTTTCCAGAGCCGGGCGGGAGGGGACCGAGTGTTTTCCTGGCACTATAGTGGTCCTTTAAGGTAAGTTTTCTTATCTTGCAAGGGGGGGGAGATAAGCCACTCTTAACACTATAGGGTTTAATATGTTTGTGTTTCTGACCCTTGTTAGTGTTCCTTTATTATAAAATTGTCAGAGAGCAGTAGACTTCTCCCCCAGAACTTTCCATGTTCAATCTCAGATTCTCTGTTTGATGTAGCCTGTTGTTAGCTTATTGACCATCCTCCTTCTGACCAGTTGTTGGTGAGGATATCAATCATGGTTGGTGAGATAGCTCAGTGGGCTAATGAATCATCAGTAGAATCTGACCCTTGCGGGTCACAGGTTAAAATCCCGGCAGGCTTGACTCAGCACTTCCGAGGTAGGTAAAATGAGTACCATTAAATTGGTAATGGTTAAATCCCCTGGACGTTGGGCGAAAGTAACATCCCCAGGACTTACTTGCAAACCAGAGTAATCTGAATGTACCTTTCCTGGTTAAATACTTTATTATTATGACAACACTATAAAAATATAACTATAATCTGTTTTAGTCTGCAGCCCTCATTGTAATGGAAATTGCAAAAATGTGAACAGTGTTTTGTTTTCTAGAAACATCGTTATTTACAGTAGCAATGCTGCAAGAACATTGTCTGTGTCCCAAAATCATTTCAATAAAGGAACACTCTAAGCACCCATATAACATGAGCTTAATTGATTTTTATATAATTCTTTTTATATAATTCCCCCTGCAAGATTATCTCTCAGGAGTAAAAGGTTTACAGCAAATGAATGGCAATAAGTGAAACGCTGCATATGCAGACTTCAGGTACCATGACCACTTGAAAGTACTGATGCTTCGAGTAACCCCTTTTAGTTAAATTGTTTATGCAGCATTGAGCACACTTCCATTGGCTGTGACCTACACACTTCCTGAAAAAGAGGTTAGATTTGTAGGCTTCCGAATTGCAGAATTTTATTTATTTTATTTTTATTGAGAAGTTCTTCTCTCCTGCTCTGTTAATGGCCTGCTGGAGTCTACAGCAGCCTCCAGTGTATGTTTAAAGTTCAACTAATAGGTTATAAGAACCTAAAGTAATCTGTGCTGTAAGGTCAGTTTGAAAATAAACAAACATAACATTACAGGAAAAGCTCTACTGAAAAATGGGTAATAAGTGTGTGGGTTATAAGTTACAGGGTGCTCTTAAAGGAAGAGAATCTGTTCCCATACCAGATATATACATGTAATAAAAAATAAGAAATGATCCCAAGGCACACTCTGTGGTGTGCCTTTTGATCATTTCTTATTTTTCATTTTGAAAATAAAACCTTCTTTTTCCCCATTAAGGCTTTGTGAGTCACAAGTGGGGATGCGTATCTAGGCCTGCATAAACAAAGTGATTTAAGATGAAGTGATTTTTGTGCTTGAATTATCCATTTAACTGGACACTTATTTCATTTGTCTAATAGAGACAAGTAATCTAATTTCACTCTACTCAAGTATGACACACTACACCAACCACTCATGTTCAGTATACATCCACATTGCAATAACTATTTTATTTATATACATATATATGCACATATTCTATGCATTTTACAGTATCACTGACCTTCTGTTGATTAAAAAACCAGCATACAGGGGATAATTCAATCAACCTAGATGCAAGGAGTCCAATGCTAACTGACTTACTGGACATGCCAAGTCCTGCATCGGTGACTGCTTTGGAGTTTAAAGTCCACTGCAAAGGAATACAATCTGGTTCCTGCAGCTCCTGGAATGCAGATGAGCATGCGCTGATATCTCCATTTATTAAAGTGTTACTCCAACCAAAACCAGTATTTTAAGAAAACACTGTTTTTGGTTAGAGTAACACTCTCTATCCAGGCCCACCAACTTAAAATTAATAAAGCTAAAAAAAACTGTTTTGTTCAAGTGCCAAGGCCAAGTTCCCCCCTCAGCCCAATCCTCCTCCACTTACGTTACTCCTTGCTGCTTACGAGGATAGCCCGGAATGATGTGTTGTTGCATAGGTAGTGCTGACGACAGATGTCCAATATGCATATAATATTAACTAGACCATAACTCTTGCAAGTCCTCTTCTGCAACTCTGCAAGAACGTTTGAGACTATTGCTTTAGTGTAAAACACCAGCTTTTAAATGGGCGTACATACTGGAAGCACTGCAGTTTTAGAGCAACCAAGCATAAAGAAAGCTTAATTTAGACCATTTTTCTGCAATGTTAAAATTGATGGCAAGAGCTATATAGAGCTACCAAAAGAGAATGCAATTAAATACAGGATTAGATATGTAATTTTAGAGTTAAACTGCTGAGTGTGCAGTGCCAGTCTCCATGGCACAGAGCCACTACATTACGCTGTAGTGGTTTTGGGGCCTCTAGGGTCCCTTTTAAGAGTATGTGTTGATTAGACATCAGTCATATTTAGAGAGTTACTCCAAGTACTGTGACAACTTCATTGCTTTGGGTGGTCATGATGCTTGAAATCTGCATATGCTGTGTTTTCCTTTGAAATACTGCTCATACAGCGAATATTCCCTTGGCTGTCAGCATCACTAACCAGCCCAGAGCACAGTTCCAAGGTTGGCTCATGTAACTCTAACCAAAGCCAATGTTTTATGATAACACTGGTTTCTGGTTGAAGTAACCCTTCAAGGTCATAATAGCCAAAGTATATTAACTGTGGCTGCATGTATTCCCTAATTTAATGGAGACTTATTTTAACACTTCAAATGTATTTTAAGGATTTTATTGCTATTTAAATGCCTACTGATAAAGTTTTTTACAATTGAGAGAAGTCAATTCTCTGAATTATTTATATCCAAACTTGCTGCAATCTGATGGTGGGTTTAGTAAAGGTATCCTAATGTAAGTTTAGGTGTTGCATATGTTTCCATGCACCAATATGGTAAATTCCTGTCCAGTGTTAAGTGTTTACCATTATAGGCATTTTCAGGGACACTTAAGAAAATCTCAAATTATGGTTGAGTGCATCATTGACCGTCCTCAAGCAAAATAATTTATATCCATTGCATGGACAGATATAGATAGATAAATACAAGAGGTTGTACTCACCTGGCCATGCATACATTATAGGGTTCTGGGGTCAATTCATTTAAGATCCAGTGCACTCAGTCACTAAATAGCAATTTTGAGTCTCAAAATCACCTCACCTAGGCAAAAAATAATGGGGGCTTAGTTACAGTGTATGATCATACATAAGCCTGCCATAACATCAATGTACCAAATTCTTGGCAGGTCCTACTTTAACACCCTAATAACTGCTCTTATGAGATTAATCCACTTACTTGGGAATTTCTTTTTCCTGGGACTCTCTGCAAGTCAAGGTTAAATAGGGCCTTTGAATGAGGCACCTGTGGCAGGGAGGTGTGCAAAACCGGGGAATATATATCTCTATCCAAGAGGCTTCACTCGCCTGAACATGCATACATTATAAGGTGCAGCTGGGGCCAATTCATGCAATCTCATAACTTGTACATTGCCACTTGCAATTTTTTCATACTTCTCACAGATTGGAAGTGTACATTTTTTATTTGATTTGTAAAGCGTTGTATTGGTTCAGTTCTGTACAGTAGAATATTCAAAAGAACACTGCTGATTTGTAGCATTGTAAAAATATATTTTTACAGTGACATGTAAGTTGTTGAAATATGAAATAATTGTACGTTTTGTTTATATATCTATAGGATACAGAGTTTCCTGGGGTTGTTGTAAGGCCGATTGGAGAGTTTCGAAGCACTATAGACTACCAGTACCAGCTGCTACGTTGTAATGTGGACTTACTGAAGATAATTCAGCTGGGACTCACTTTCATGAATGAGAAGGGGGAGTACCCACCTGGGACCAACACATGGCAGTTCAACTTTAAATTTAACCTCACGTAAGTGTGTTTCTCTAACCCCATAATAATGTTATAATGATTTATATACCAAAACATAAAATTTAAAACAAAAAAGAACATAAAAGTCCAAAAGCTACCTAAAACAGTTGGAGTTTAACCCAACCTCTGTAAATAAAAATAATCAATGAAAAGAGAGCCAAACAACCACCTATATAATATAGACATTAAAATATAGTTAATATTAAGGTCTGTGGAGGATCTCGCGATGCCAAGATGTGTCCGGCTTAAGAAAAATGTTTTGGTTAGAAATAGATTAAGGGAAAAGAAAGACAGAGTAGGGAAGAGGAAGTGATTGGAAAAAGATAAGTACTACGTAACAGTGCCACTTTTAGCTAAAATTGTTCAAATGATTAACGGGATACTTTAAGCCCCAGTTTGTAATATTATTAGCTGTTACTTAATAAACAAAATGTTTGAGAATTCCATTCAATGCAAGATGGGTATTATTTGAATTTCTATTCCCACAGAATGTTCTTTCCATTCCAATTTTTCCAAGGGGTGCAAACTAGAAACTTGTCCCCCTTGATTGTTGCACATTGGTTTTTTGCTTAATCTTTCTAGGGTTAGATCTGCATGAACTTAGAAGTGTACTTTACATTAACTTTGAAATTCAGCCAATTAACATGTTATGCAATAACTCTTAATTTCATATAAGGTTGGTACCGTTAGACATATAGGCAGGCACCAGGAAAAAAAAAATACTTATTTTTGCCAGAAATATCCTCTTACTCGGACACTATTTATTTAAATGTCACTGTGCGCAATTTTTGCCTCTAGAATATGTTGTCAATTACTATAAAATTGTTTCATTATAATTTTCCTAATGAAAATGGATGAACTTTCTTGTGCTGGGCAAGTAACCATGTGGGAAAAAAACAGTTAACCTAAAACAATTGTTAACCCTTCCTACTTGCCCTATAAATGCTGCCTTTCCCAAAGTTACCTCAGTTCTTTCTTGTCCCGCTGACGGAACGGACAGGTAACCCTTTTTTGTCTTTTTCCTATGCTGGTGATGCACACGGGTTGCTGCTTGGAGTAGTCAGTCTGATAGCTCCTTGGATAGTGAGCTGCGCAGGATGCTATCCCTTAACCTCTAAAGGTTAGGGAACGTTGTTTCTTTCTCTGTTTTATGCCAATAAGTTATGGCAAGTTGCAGGTAGGCAGTGCCGGGTGGCAAGGCAATCACAAGGCAGACCCTAAGCCTACGCACAGCGGTTGAATTCACGTGCAGAATGCCTTGTATTCCACCGAAGTTCCTATTGTGCTCACACACACACACACACACACACACACACACACACGCGTTCAGAATTTCAACTCAGGTGTAAATTTTGAAGAGCCTATTTAAACTGTGCTGACCTATTTGACAGCAAGGGTGAATGTCATGATAGGTCCACCATGTCACCATCCCCCCCACACGGTTCTGAGGTCTTTAGTAGAAACGTAGAGGCCAAAAAAAATGCATATTCCTTTTTTCCCGCTCTAACCGTATACCTTCTGTAACTAAATGCTTTTTTACCTAAATAGTGCGAAAATTAGCTTTAGAAGTACCTATTTTAATCTTTACTTTGATCAGGTTTTCTTCTCCTCATGTGCCTGCATGTCATATCCATGTCATATCCATGTCATATCCAAACTGTCCACCAATGGCCATGCTCCCCTTACAGGGCACATCTGCTTAATAACATCTGTTTGGTCAATACATTTTTTTTATTGCTATGTCTGAGGAGGTACTCAAGCTGTCTGCTCGTTTTTATGGGTTTGTCATCAGGTGCCAGAAGGACTTTATGGCTCCGTTCATGGACGGCAGATACTGCATTTAAATCTGCATTGTGCAAATTAACTTTTGAAAGAAGTAAGCGGTTTGGTGCTTCTTTAGAAGAGATCATAAAACAAATGTTCAAAATCAGGAAGGCTCTGTTCCAAGAGAAGAGATATCTGTGGAAAAGAAGACTCCGATCTCAAAACCAAACATCCTTTCCATATCAGGACCATACTCGCAATTTCCATAAGTAAAAAGGGACACAACGTTCCATGACAAGCAGGTCAACATACAAGATAATAGGAGCTAGTTTTGATGTCAGAAAAGTAGGAGGAAGGCTGCAATTGTTTAAACATCCATGGATTTTAAGCACAATAGCAGACTGGTACAAACTCATGTGTTTGGAAAGACTTGTGCCAAAATTCCTGGTTTCTTTTTACATATCTCCATTCAAAACAGATGCGCTTCTATCAGAATCCCTGATACTGTTAAGAAAAGGAGTTATCGAAAAGGTCCCAATGGAACTCAAGTCTGTTTTTGGTTCCGAAATAATTTTTATTTCGTCCTGTACTAGATATAAAAAGGTGAACAGTTGCATTCAATACCAAAGTTTTTATATAGAGACCATTCTTTTTGTCACCCACATGCTACAAAAAGGCTTTATGGCGACTCTGGATTCGAAAGATGCCCATTTACACGTTAATGGTAGACGCGTAAGGTGCTCTAGGCTGTCGTCTTGTGATGCACCCATCCTTTTTTTTGGGGGGGGGGGAAGGGGTGGAATCTTGCTATATCCCACTTGTATTGTCCCCATATGCTAGGAAAACCAGAAGTTTTACTTACCTGAAATTTTTATTTTTATTCTTAATATAGTGGCAGTACTTATTTTCTCCCAGTTTCTTTGTTAAAGGACCACTATAGGCACCCAGACCACTTCAGCTTAATGAAGTGGTCTCGGTGCCTGGTCCAGCTAGGGTTAACCCTTTTTTAAATTATTTTTTTATTTATTATTTTTTTAATAAACATAGCAGTTTCAGAGAACTTTAGTGCCAGGAAAACGAGTATGTTTGCCTGGCACTATAGTGGTCCTTTAAAGATTGTGATTGATATATATCTCTATCTCTAATATATATATATTTGCTGCAAATTTAATCTGTTTTCTTGTTATGACTGAGGTAACTTTGGGAATGGCAGCACTTATAGGGTGAGTATAAGGGGTTAAAGATTGTTTTTACATAGCTGAAAAGAGACTTGCTTCCATCAAGTTCAACCTTCCTCACATTTGTTTTTTGCTGTTGATTCAAAAGAAGGCAAAAAACCCAGTCTGAAGCGCTTCCAATTTTGCAACAAACTATGAGAAAATTCCTTCTTGACCCCAAAATAGAAGTCAGATGTCTCCTCAAGCAGCTATTACCCCACTAATTAGAAATTTATAACCCTGTATGTTATGTTTTTGAAAGTATTTATTCAATTGCAGTTTAAACATCAGTAATGATTCTGACGACCACCTCTTCAGGCAGAGAATTCCATATCCTTATTGCTCTTACTGTAAACAAAAACAAAGCTTTTCTTTGCCTTAGATAAAATCTCCTTTTTTCCAGCCTAAATGTGTGACCTTGTGTCCTATGTATAGCCCTGTTTATGAATAGATTTCCAGATAATGGTTTGTACTGGCCCCGAATATATTTGTATAATGTTATCATTATCTCAGGTGCCATTTTTCCAAACTAAACAGATTTAATTGTTAATTTCAATAAATTTTGTAGCTTGTCTCTGCACTTTTTCGAGTGCCATGATATCTTTCTTTAGGACAGGTGCCCAAATTGCACAGCATATTCAAGGTGTGGTCTTACCAGCGATTTATAAAGAGGCAAAATTATATTTTCATCCCGAGAATTTATGCCCCTATTTATACATGACAAAACCTTACTAGCCTTAGAAACTGCATATTGCTGCCCAATTTGTTGTCTATAACAATTAAAGGAACGCAGCTCATGAAGTGGTCTGGGTGCAATATCTCTGTCCCACTTTGTCCTGCAATATAAAACCATGTTTACATTGCAGTACTAAGACAGCCTCTAGTGGCTGCCTATCAGACAGCCTCTAGGTTTGGTCCCAGCAATTGACCAGACTCTGGGTGCCTTAAATGACGCTGGACATCCTCACGTTCTGCATGAGGACATCCAGCATCCGTGAAATCCCCATAGGAAAGCATCAATTCAATGCTTTCCCATGGGAGAGGCCTAATGCGCTTGCTGCACATGCGCATTAAGTCGCCCTATCAAATGTCAGAGGAGGCAGAGCACTGACCCAGCACCGCGGGACATCAGCGCTGGAATTGGGTACATTTTGTTTTTTTGTTTTGTGGGGGTTTTTTTTTTGGCGGTGCGGGTTAACCTTTGTCAGGGGTGCCCAGAGGGTAAACCCTCAGATGTTTTTAAAACTGCTTCCATGATGCTCTTTGCAGTATCATTGGAGTTGTAGTTTTGCAGAGGAACTGCAACTTCCTTTTGGGCACCCCTGCTTTATGTGCTACAGGCGGTGACCACAAGAAATGCGGTGGACCAGAGGGCACTATAGTGTTAGGAATTCAACTTTGTATTCCTAACCCTATTGATTCCCTTGAAGGTTTTTTTTCTTCACCTCCCACCTCCCCTCTCAACCCTACAAGGTATCTTGTCTAGCACTAGAAAGTTCATCCCACTTGTATTGCCACTATAAGGAAAAAAAATTATTTACGGTTAGTCAAATTTCTGCTTTTCAGTTTATAACTACATTCTTTCTTTTATTAAATAGCAGTTGAGTCTATTGACCACTCAAAAGCACTCTTTGTATATTTGTTTAATTTATGAAAGAAATGTATCACCACCTAAAGGGCAAATCTTTAAGGACAGTGTAGAGATTTATTTCCCTTCTCTAAGGCTCAAAGTAGTAGTTAATGATGAGAAAGTACAAATAGTACGAATAATGGAAAGTACAAATTCTCTAAATGTTTGATAATCAAAGGACCACTATAGTGCCAGGAAAACAAACTCCTTTTCATGGCACTATAGTGCCCTGAGGGTGCTCCACCCTCATGGCCCCCCTCCCGCCAGGCTGAAGTTGGACGAAGGGGGTTAAACACCTTTTTCCAGCGCCGGACTCCCTCGGCACTGGGGACTCTCCTCCTCCTTTGGACTTCATTGGCTGAATGCGCATGCGCGGCTCTTGCCGCGCGCATTGTCATTCCATAGGAAAGCAATCTCAATGCTTTCCTATGGATGCTGGCATCTTCTCACTGGGAAAATCACAGTGAGAAGCGTGGAAGCGCCTCTAGTGGCTGTCAGTGAGACGGCCACTAGAGGCTGGATTAACCCATATGTAAACATAGCAGTTTCTCTCAAACTGCTATGTTTACAGCAGGCAGGGTTAAACTGCTATGTTTACAGTAGGCATTAAACTCAAGTGGTCTGGGTGCCTATAGTGGTCCTTTAAGCTGTTGGCCTCTAGTCAATAAGCCCACAGGTCAAACGTGTACTAGATTACAATTTGTCTTGATTTAAAAAAAATGGTTACCATTTTATTTTGTAAGCATATTATTAAATAAAATGGAACATGATGCATATGGATGTACAATGATGATACTTCATTGAATGGCACTTTCCTCATTTCCGGTTACTGCCATTCACTGGGTATTTTAATAGCATTTTTTTTATGTCTGATCCTGTCTCTCTTGATGCTTTGCAGAGAGGATATGTATTCCCAGGATTCAATTGATCTTTTGGCAAACTCTGGCCTTCAATTCCAGAAACATGAAGAAGAAGGCATAGACACATTGACGTTTGCTGAGCTCCTAATGACCTCTGGCGTAGTACTTTGTGATAATGTGAAGTGGCTTTCTTTTCACAGGTGAGAGAACTTATTGTGGCAAGTTTTCTGTTTTAACCTATAATGCAAGCTTATAAATTGAGGGGAATGTACACCATTGCATGTTTTAGCCCTAAATACTTGAGCTTGAAAAGTAACTGCGTTTTTTAATTTTCTAATTTGTTTAAATCCTTTTTTTAAATTTTTTTTATTTTATGGAATCCTTAAAAAATGTTAACAATATAATGACACTAAAATGTTACAATATTGTATAAACAGAAATAAAACTGGGGAATACTGATACAAAATAATCTGGAATTGTATGTATAATCTGTTGGCGCTATAAAAATGGCAATAATAATAAAATATCTTCATTAAATTATTATGGTCCAAAATGTTATAAATGTTTGATACATTAAATATATGTAACCAGTCAAGTTGGATTCGAAGTGTAAATTATTCTTCTTACCTAAAATAAGCAATTTTCTGTTGTATTCTCTGCACTTCTGTTTAATAAATAACCACGTTCTAAGTAATGAGAAGTGAAGAAAAAATTTAGCACCGCCAATAATGTTTGGTTAACTATTTTGTGCTAACATTTCTAAAGTAACCGTTCCTCTTTATTCTAATTAGGTTCTTGAGCCCTCAGTAAGCAGGATATATTATTTGCGTTACAAGACATTGAAACTTAACAGCAAGCTGACACAATTGGTTGTATTTAAAAGTGGCAGATTTTGAAAACCGTAAAGAGGCACATAAGGCTCTGATATGTGTTTGCTGCGCAATCTGATATTTGAACATGTCACACTATTGTACATAACCTTAAATTGACACTAATCACTCACAACACTTCATCTCAGTGACGTGCTCAGGGTGCTGTGGCCTGAGTCATTTTAATACTGTACTCTAGTTTTTGAACTCTACAAAACTGTAATGATTACATTGCAGAGTTAAAGGGACACTATAGACACCCATACCACTTCCATCTCAGAGGTGTTCTGAGTGCAGTGACCCAGTCCCCTAAATCTGCAATGTAAAAAATTGCCGTTTTTAGAGAAATGTTAAGACTGCCTCTTGTCTCCCAGGCACGTAAGATGATGCTGGACGTTCTCACACCCTGCATGAGGACATCCAGCATCTTCAAAATCCCTAATTAGGTTCCTGTATCACGGTGATTTTGCGGGAGGAAGAGCTGGAAGCGGGTTAGCAAATAAAGTATTTTATTTATTTATTTCCCTTTCTTGGGCGAGCGCAGAGGGGCACTGTGGTGTAGGGATACAGTTTTATGTGCCTAACACTAGTTGGTATTAATTTAAGTCCAACTCTGGCAGTCTTTACAGGTGCTTTTTCTGCACTAACAGAGTAAGAGTTGATCACGTGATTCCTCCTCCCCCTTCTTCGGAAAGCATTGTTATACTGCTTTTCTATGGCGAAGCAACAATGCATGTGGCACTCGCCACACAAATGCATTAGGTCTAGGAGTAGCAGTGGATTGGACCATCGCAAGAAATAAAGGGGTAAGCAGGGTGGGACCTGTGTAGAGCTTAGGGTCAGAGGCACTATAGCGTTAGAAATAGGTTTAAGTATTACTTTAAAGTCATTACTGCAGGAGTATTTGCCATTATGATTTCCTTTCATTTCTCCTAATTTTATTTTATTTATTTTTTATGTACATTCCAAAAAAGACAGTTGCAACAGTTTAAGACAACCAAATTTGTGACACATAACAGCACCTTGTTTAGTTCCAAAGCTCATTTATAAATTCCAGAAATTCCACTATAAAACTGAAGATTATTGTTATGTTAGAGTAATGGTAATTAACTTAAAATGTTTTAATTGGTTACTTATACAATAAACTTTATAACAGTGGCTACGACTTTGGCTACATGGTGAAACTCCTGACAGACTCTCGGCTACCAGAGGAGGAGCATGAGTTTTTCCACATCTTAAATCTATTTTTTCCATCAATTTATGATGTCAAGTACCTCATGAAGAGCTGCAAAAATCTAAAGGTGTGTGTACCCCCCTCCTTTCTCCCATGTAAAACTTGTAAACATTATTAGTACTATTTCATTAAACATTCAAATGGAATGATGACCATAATTCTAAGTGACCATTGTTTAATGCAAACTGCTATAGAACAGGAAGTGAGCCATGTTCTCCTGTTGGTAGTAGTAGATCAGCAGTTTTCCATAAACACCTATAGCACAGAGGTTTATGGATGAGTACAGTAGCTACTGTAACTTCCAGATTACGTGGAGTATAACTGTAAAGGTCCGTACAGCAGCTTGATCGTAGGGTTAATGCTTTCCATGAGAAGCCATGCATGGGGTAACACAGTACGCTCTCTCATAGATACCTTGAGGGAGAGATGTATTTAGGTTGCTTTTCCGCTACGTTTCATATTGGAAGAAGGATAGTTGTATGATGCAAATGCTTTGCAGCTTCAGAAATCATGCTTGTAGCTTACATGCTTATTGAATGCATCATGGGTGTGTGTTTTTTTTTAAGTAGAAACATGCTTCATTCCTTCAATTTCTAACTTTTTTATATCTATCTACTCTGTAAAAGTAGGCAGTGGTTTTATAGTTTTTTTTTTTGTTTTGTTTTTTCCCTTTTTAACTTGGCCAATAGTTATTTCATATATCCGATATTTTGATTATTCCTCCAACAATGCTGTTTCTCATCAACTAATAAAAGCCACAAAACTGTAAAAAAATGCATCTAGTAAGCCAACTGCATGAAGGGAATTGTTTTAATGCACAAATTGCTCATGTGTGAAAGGAAAACAAAATGTAAAACTGCTTAATCATTTCTTCAAAAATGTTAAAATATTTTTTCATGTTAATAGTAGCAAAGGTAAAATTAGCTTGTCTTTTGGAAGTGCTACAAATGACTTTGGTACCTGTTCTCTTTGTGTAGCTAGATGCCTCATAAGGGCACGTACCTGGAAAGTGTCATACAAGCACACATATGATCAAACAGATGTTGAGCATGCATGAACGCTCTTAAAGCATCATTGGACTGGACTCTTATTCTTGTATATCGTAATTCCTTTGGGGGAGAAAGTCTTATATCTCAACCAGATTGCATTTTTACTTGCTCTTCATTTGGTCTACTATGCAGGGAGGTTTGCAGGAGGTTGCTGACCAGCTGGACCTGCAAAGGATTGGTAGACAGCATCAGGCTGGGTCTGACTCATTACTGACAGGCATGGCTTTTTTCCGGATGAAAGAGGTGAGTGTTTGCTGGCTTTCTATTGGTAATAATTAGACATGCACAGAAATAAAGATATGTACAACCAAAAGTGCAAAACAAAAATTACTTATCTTCAAATTATGTTCATCTTTACACAGATCACCTGCAAGGTGTTCCTTTTTTATTTATTTTTTAGGTAAAACAATGAGTAAACAAAAGCAGTTTAAATACAGCTGATATGATCCTAAAACCAAGCAAAACAGTGTGATATTGTTTAAAGTTGGAATAATCTCTCAATATTATAGAACACTTACGAACTGTCAGGGTCTTACCTGAGGTGGGAGTCCGGTAGGCATAGATTTGTGCTCACACTTCCAGATAAACACAGTCCAAAGTGATAAGGTTAGAAATCACCAGGACTATGAATCTGTGCACGGGGCTGTGCATGAAAGGTGGTCCAATTCGCAGTACAGACCAGGACATAAGCAGGAGGATTGTCGAGGATAAGCCAAAGTCAGAGGATACCAGAGGTCAGGATAAACAAGGAGGAAGGTCAAAGTCAGGAGCCAGGGTCAATCTGGAGAACAAGTTTGAGGAGCCAAAACAGGAACAACACACAATCACCAGACTCAAAGAACTGACAATGTTCGCGTGGAGAGGCAGGTTTAAATACCTTGCTTATGAGCCATCTGCCTTAGGTGGAGATAGAGAGATAGGAGCAGCCACAAGTAAAGTCCAGCCCCCTAATGCTGCAGACAAGGCAGGATAGGACATCCGGTAGAAACATGAACTGAAGTGTGGCTCAGAGGCAAGACAGCAGGGCTAAGGCAGCAAGAGTCCAGAGTTCAAATCCCCTTTTTGGCAATGTGAAAATGCCACACCTGGCCGTCTGGATGTCACGGTGAGAACCGTGATACAAACTTGCAGAATTTCAAGCACTCCAAAGGTCTCTTCCTTGAAGGTGGTGAAGAGGGAGGGGGCTATAGCCTCCTTAGGGTCAACACTCTGTACTGTACTGGTCCTATAGGAAGTTTCCATTATTGGCACAAAACGCATAGGACCTCTGCATTTTAAAATATATATATATATAATTTATTTTAATTATTATTATTAATGCAAATCTGGATTTTTGTCTGGTACCTGTTTGAGAGTGGTAAGCATAGGGAGTCTATAGCCCCCTATTACCTTTGGGGAAGGAACCTTTGTAGAGCTTGAAATTCTACAAGTTTGTGAGTGTTTTTAATATTATAGTGTGATTATTCCAACTTTAAACAATATCACACTGTTTTGCTTGTTTAATTTTTAGGATCATAAGGCTTTTCTTTGTACATTGTTTGCACTGAAATATAACTTTATTGTGCATGTCAGCAAAATATAATTTAGACCAGTATTTGTATAGAAGTGTGGAATGCATAACCTTTCAGCATTAAGAAACAGTGGAATTAACAAATCTGTGTCTGGAAGCATGGCTTTCTCACCTGAAAACTGTTAACATGCTGTATTTTTCTAGTCTTTTGAACTTGTATCATAACAGACTGCTACATTAGTTTGTCTGTGAATCTTAAATTTGCTTTCTACCTTCAAAACAACTGCGTCGCATACAGGTTATGAAACCTTAAGGTGTCAAACTGTAACACCAAAACTAGGCTTAGTGTCTTCCCTCTCCTCAGCTACTGTACTCATAAGTTGCTGTTGCCTTGGACACCATGACAGGTGACTGCAGACAATTGTTCAAAAGCGGTTTTGCTGAGGTGTGTGAAGTATGGAGCTATAGAGTCAGGGGAAAAAAACAACTTTGTTTTCCTAGCACTTTACTTTCCCTTTAATGGTTATTTCCCCTTGAAGGTACTGAAATCCTCTTTGCAAGCTATTTTAACATATACCTGCAATGAATAAGCACATTAAAAATACATACATTTATCCATTGGGGGTGTATCTACTAAATACTTAACATTTATTTTAGGATTTTTAAGTGTGGACTGGTCCTTTAAGCTCCATTCACTGTCGAATCTTATGCTACCTGTAGGAAATTGTCCCCACTTTTTCATAGATATGTTAAAAAAACCAAAAAAAAAAAAAAACCTGGAAAGTGCAATGCTGCTTTCATTTCTATGTCCATTAAAATATATTATACACACACACACAAATGTAGAAAATTCCTGCACTCCAAATTAACAGAAGGTGATACCTGGTGCTCTGGTAGCCAAATAATAAATAAAATAAAAAATACCGGCACTCCAAGGATTTGCAAATGGATTTCTTCTCTATTCCAAAATAATTAGGTCCTTTTATTAATTACAATTTGCTGGACCTGACAACCCACTATATTTAACCCTATAACTTTCCAGGACACCATAAAACCTGTTACATGGGGGGGTACTGTTTTACTCGGGAGACATCGCTGAACACAAATATTTGTTTCAAAACCGTAAAATGTATTACAACGATGATATCGTCAGTGAAAGTGACGTTTTTTTTGCATTTTTCACACACAAACAGCACTTACACTGACGATATTATTGCTGTAATACTTTTTACTGTTTTGAAACTCAAATATTTGTGTTCAGCAAAGTCTCCTGAGTATAACAGTACCCCTCATGTACAGGTTTTATGATGTTTTCAAAAGTTACGGAGTCAAATAAAAGGCTTGCATTTCAGTTTTTTCCTATTGAAATTCTCCAGATTGGTTACGTTGCCTTTGAGACCGTATGGTAGCCCAGGAATAAGAATTACCCCCATGATGGCATACCATTTGCAAAAGTAGACAACCCAAGGTATTGCAAATGGGGTATGTTCAGTCTTTTTTTAGTAGCCACTTAGTCACAAACACTGGCCAAATTGGCGTTTAAATTAGTTTTTTGCATTTTTCACATACAAATATTAATGTTAACGTTGGCTAGTGTTGGTGACCAAGTGGCTACTAAAAAAAAAAAAAAGACTGGACATACCCCATTTGCAGTACCTTGGGTTGTCTACTATTGCAAATGGTATGCCATCATAGGGGTAATTCTCATTCCTGGGCTACCATACAGTCTCAAAGGCAACGTAACCAATCTGGCGAATTTCAATGTGAAAAAACTGAAAAGTGTAACATGCTATATTTGACCATGTAACTTCCCAAAACACAATAAAACCTGTACATAGGGGGTACTTTATTGCAGTAAAAGCAAACTGTATTATGACATTCACAGTTAAAATGTCACGTAGAATGAAGAAAATTTAAAAAAATCTTATTTTCTCTAATTTTTTTTTTTTTTATATTCTATTCATTTTAAATAATGTTCCATACCTAAATATTTGATGTTAAATGAAAACCCTGTTCCCCTGAATAAAATGATCTATAATAAGTGTGGGTGCATTTAATATGAAAGAGGTAAATTATTGTTGAACAGACATATAGTAAAATTATGTGGTTTGTTTACATTTTTTTTTGGATCACAACTTGTACATTTGGCTGCGGTCTTAAGGAGTTAAATGATCATCTCATGATTTTGCTTTTTTGATTTAGTTATTTTTTGAAGATCATATCGATGACGCCAAGTACTGTGGACGACTTTATGGACTGGGAACAGGGGTGGCACCAAAATCTAATGAGGAGGCAGAGGAGAAAATGAGCATAATGTCTCTTATCAACAATGGACAGCAATGAAATAGCTTCCTTCCATCTTCATGAACTCCAGCGACCAGGCAATGAATTATATCCCCAAAGTATAATACTGGGATTTTGTTGATTTTTCCTCTTAGACCTAAAGTTATAATAGTGGATCTAATCTTCATTGCTTTACTTCAGTGCATTACTGAAACCAGCAGCAAAGGGAAAAAATGAACATTTGGGGTGTGTATATACTGCTTCTTTTTGTTTTGTTCAGCAAGTTATTACATTTTGTTTTATATATAATTTTTTTTTAATTGTAAAATTAAATGTCCGCATCTTAAAGAAATAGATCCACCAAACAATGATCAGATATGCATATTTTTTTTTTTTTTTTTACTTCCACAGATTACCATTGATGTGTGCTCAAGAAATCATACTAAGCTTTCATTTTCTAGAACTCAAACTGTGCAGCGATTTTCAAGAATGTCAGGCTAGGTATTTTGAGTGCTGTGCCCATGCCAATTTCAGATTATACTGTGGATTTTAAACTGCCATGATATAAGGCAAATGTTTTGTCCTCCTATCCATGGATTTAACATAATGCACCTTTTAAGATTCCAGATCACGCAAAGCAGTAGTAGTAGTCATTGAGCAAAGTGTGAATTGGAACAGTCATTTGAGCCTTTGGAGTTAAAAGGACCATAAAAGTCAGAAGTAATTGTTATAACTCGCAGATTCTCACTGCAACAAAATGGTATCTTTTTTTTCCTTGATGGGTAAATTGCAGACTTTGTATGGATTTTTTTTTCTGTTGTGGAGGAGGAGCTATTTTGTTCTCTGGAAATAAATATTAGAAGAGGGAGATCCCAACTCCCAGCATGAATGGACAGTACACAACTAAGTAGCCAGCCTTTTCAAAGCCTGTAGTTTAACACATGATTTGGAGTTCTATACACATGCACTTTGAAACATTATGTGCCAAGTTCAAAATGTTGTTTACGTTACCTGTATAGTTTATATGTTACTTTACTGTTTCAAACACCCATGTTTTCTACTAGCTATGGATTAGATCATGGATTGTTGATTTTGGCTCACAATGACTTGACTCCGTATCTACAAGATTGCATCTACAAGAGTCATTCGATGCATACGGAGTTTAAAGAAATGGTTCTAGAACAGTGGCCCACATTTTGTTAGAGATGTGGATATGAAATCTGTAGTTGAGCACAACATTATTATTCCTTCAATTAGTTTGGTAACTTAAGACCGGATTCTTTAAAATGTCCTCTTTGAGTGGAAAAAACCTGCTACAGTATTTTTGCTGTTGGTGGTTTTCTCTGTTTAAAAAAAAAAAAAAAAAATGCAGATCTTATTTCGAGGAACAAAATTTTGATATATTTTTCCCCCCCTCATTTACGTAACCAGTTTTGCAAAGTTGTCAGGAATTGCATGTTTTATAGGGGGCACAGGCAAACCCTGTTCACAGTTGTCATTTTAAGTACTAAAAATCCCAAACTTTTCAAACTATTTTATCCAGATTGTAAGTTTATATTATAATTCTTTTTAAATTTCCTCTGTGACAATGAAATGTGAACAAACACTGCCCTATCCAAGCTTTAAAAAAAAAAAAAAAATTCAATTTTGTTAATGATAAAAACAATTGCTGAAAGCATTGGAAAAAGAAGAAAATGACAGTCACGCAGTTTTACCTGACAAATTTTGTAATCTATACTTCATTGTTGTAAGCTGGAGTTGGCAATGCGTGTAAATATTATTTATGTTTTTAAATTTGTAAAATAAAGAATTTTTTTTTATCAACAGAATTACGCATTACATTTCTATATCTCACATTGTTTTACTCTGGTGTTAAAGCACCAACCTGTTTTTAAAGAAAGAAAAAAAGTAATTGACCAAGTTGCAGACAGATGGTCTCTGAAAATGGCCTGCAGCGTTCTGGGTCTGTTAGTGATCCAATTACATGAATAATTAAATCCTATGAATCCTCAGTACATAGAGTACGTACAGAATACAGGTACAGAGAATGGGCCAATGTTATGTTCCTTCTTATACTTGCTGTGTACTGATAACCTGCTTTGACCATCATCCCTTCACTATATTATGAAATTATTCTAAAGCAGATGAGGTCTCTGGCATGTGCTTTACCGATCGCAAGGTAAGAGATGAGAACATATCAAACTCCAATTTTATTAGTAGTAATTAGCATACTTTAATACAGCCTAATTAAATATACAAATTATGAAAAATATAGTTTTCATGTTTTACTGTAAGACATTTCACGCATTTTAGCCCTTTGTTGTATCATTCAATTTGCTCTTATATTTTTCATTAAAGGAACACTATAGTCACCTAAATTACTTGAGCTAAATAAAGCAGTTTAGTGTAGAGATCATTCCCCTGCAATTTCACTGCTCAATTCATTGTAATTTAGGAGTTTAATCACTTTGTTTCTGTTTATGCAGTTCTAGCCACACCTCCCCTGGCTATGATTGACAGAGCCTGCATGAAAGAAAAAACTGGTTTCACTTTCAAACAGATGTAATTTACCTTAAATAATTGTATCTCAGTCTTTAAATTGAACTTTAATCACATACAGGAGGCTCTTGCAGGGTCTAGCAAGCTATTAACATAGCAGGGCATAAGAAAATCTTAATTAAACAGAACTTGCAATAAAGAAAGCCTAAATAGGGCTCTCTATACAGGAAGTGTTTATGGAAGGCTGTGCAAGTCACATGCAGGAAGGTGTGACTAGGGTTCATAAACAAAGGGATTTAACTCCTAAATGGCAGAGGATTGAGCAGTGAGGCTGCAGGGGCATGTTCTATACACCAAAACTGCATCATTAAGCTAAAGTTGTTCAAGTGACTATAGTGTCCCTTTAAATTAAAAAATTGATTACACCGATCGTCCTCACACACAACCTTAATAAGGTGTTTTGAATATATACCAACATCTTGCCTAAAAATCCAGTTTCGTCGAGATTGTTAAAGAGCAACAGTCACTTCCCTGGATTTTTAATGTTCACTTATATTTAATTGTATTTATATACAAACCTGTATCTGTGAGCTGTGCAAAAAAATAAAATTTAAATGTATAAAGTCACACGTGGTTTTTTTCTTCATCTTGGCTTCCTGACCATCATTGTCCTGTGCAACTGGCAGAGTTATTCAGTAAAGTTGAAATGACCTTTACTGAATGTGGCAAATCCATCGGTGCAGTATATAGACCATACAGACCCCAAACTGCAGACACAGTTTACAGTGTTTAATAATGTCTGGATTTTGCAGAGCAGGTTCCGAATCAGCCTTAATTTCGTCTTGATTTTAGCTGGTCTAAGAGCTGTTGGACAACTGCTTGTGTTCCGGGAGTGCAACTAGCCTTCAGCACAAAAGTGCAGATTACTTAGTATGAAACACTGCACGTACGTGCATGCTCCTACCACCATGATCACTTCAAATGAAGTGGTCATGGGGGTTGGGTTCCCCTCTAAAATCAGGACCCAGATTTATTTTTTTTATTTGAAATTTTCAAGTTCATATGCAGTTATTGACACAGCAATATAACATAATAAATCGGTGTGTAAACATTAAACATACAAACCTAAATCAAAATTGATGACCTTTAAGTTACATATGATCTTCTGTTCTTTACAGTACATCTTGGTTTTATAAAAGCAGTGAATCTTTTATAACTTATAGAATGTAACTGGGTTGAAAAGACAAGAAAGGAGAAGAATGGGATTGGAAAAAAAGAGTAAAATGTTTCCCATAGCATCGTATCATAGTATTAATGGTTAACCCCTTAAGGACACGTGACATGTGATGATTCCCTTTTATTCCAGAGGTTTGGTCCTTAAGAGGTTAAATAAGTAGCTAATAGGTGCATATGTATTGCATTGTGCAAAACATTAATATGTTAGCTATGTATGTAATATATGTAAGTTTAAAGTCAACAAAATTCACAGGTTGAGTCCTATCAAACTTAAACTTACACACCCACAATCTGTGCAATATTCTTATGCTATTGTATTTTTTAGGCTAATTTAAAATAAAATAAGAATTAGCTGTCTGATTGTAGTTGATTAACCATAAACTTATTCAATGATTACGAAATACCAGATCTTATTATAAGGAAGCATGTTGGGTTTTCATTAAAGGACCACTATAGTGCCCTGAGGGTGCCCCCACCATCAGGGTCCTCCTCCCGCTGGGCTGGATGGCGAGGAAAGGGTTAAATATTACCTTATTTCCAGCGCCGGGCGGGGAGCACTCCACCTCCTCTCCTTCTCTTCGGTTGAATGCTTTAGCAGGAGCTGCGCGCGCGCATTCCGCAAGTCTCATAGGAAAGCATTCATGATGCTTTCCTATGGACGCTGGTGTCTCCTCACTGTGATTTTCACACTGAGAAGCACGCAAACACCTCTAGCGGCTGTCAATGAGACAGCCACTAGAGGCTGGATTAACCCATATATAAACATAGCAGTTTCGCATAGTAACTGCTATGTTTATTTAAAAAAAAAAAAAGGGGGTTCATCCTAGAGGGACCTGGCAACCAGACCACTTCATTAAGCTGAAGTGGTCTGGGTGCCTAGAGTGGTCCTTTAAGTGACTCCTAAGCGTCTCTATTTTTTTCCCCCCTCTTTCTCCTTGCTGCAATTTCTTATTTGTGTGTATTTCAGATTTATACACAATTGAGCAGTTCAAGTGGATTCATTCAGCCTATTCCTAGTTATTACTGTTAAAGTGGTTGTGATTATGTGACACATTGAACATTTAGTTGATTTAAAAAAAAAAATTTTTTTTTACATTAAAATGTTGTAACTGGTAAATTTCAGGGCTAAACTGGATTTGGTGTTACTCCTGCACAGGAAAAAAACTATTTCAGCTATATTTCCCCAATATGCTTCTAATTTAGGACAGGACCACCAGATGTGTAACATGGTTCCAGAGTGTATATGACATCTCTAACATGAATCTGAAGCATCGGGTTTCCCACGGGCAAGACGTACTGGCACCATGTACCACCTGTATAGTATTTTCCTAGTGAGTTCAATGTGTGTAGCGTAATAAGTCCTTTAAGTACTTCACCCCAGATATTGTCAGTAAATGCTATGCTTAATTAATTTCCCCAGGCCAGTATAAATGATCGCTTTTTGCAGTTAGCATACATATATTCAGATGAATACAATATAAATATAATTTTCTTGGGAGGCATAAAACCCAAACATTTTTTTTCAAAATCTCATCTGCTGCTCATTTACAGTAGAGGCATTTTTAGAAAATCTTTTTGTAGACAAGACAAGGCTTGACAAACTTGTTGGCATTTAGGAGCTAGCAAAAAAGGTTAGGAGCCAGTCACATTTTCAACCTGAGAATGCAATTCTTAAAGGGACACTAGAGTCACCAGAACCACTACAGCTTGATGTAGTTGTTCTGGTGTTTATAGCTTGTCTCTGCAGGGGTTTCAGTGTAAACACTGTCTTTTCGGCGAAAAGGCAGAGTTTACAATTCTGCTTAGTAACACCTCTAGTGACATTCAGACGGCCATTAGAGAGTCTTGGGTCACTGCTGCACCGCGTGCAGCACCCAGGTTCCGTGTCTACAAGCTCTGCATGGAGGCGCTGAATGTTCCTCCTAGAGATTGATTAATTTAATGCATCTCTACGAGGAGATGCGTATTGGTACATTTGCTGCGTATGCACAAAATCCTCCCAATGCTTTCCTAAGGGAAAGCATTGGCTTAGCTGACCTCAAGATTTATAATCTCAGCCATGGCGAAACTGGCACGGCATTGGAAAATGGGGGAAAAAGGTGATTAAAAACACTTCATGCGATTGAAGGGGGCAGGTACGTAAACGCGCACACTCTGACTGTGTGTGTGCCTCTCCCTCTCTCTCTCTCTCTCTTTCTCTTTGTTTTAATTGAAACCCATTCAGCCTTCCTACCTTTTGGACGGCTGAATGGGTCTTTCCTGGGGTCCAGTGGGGCTGCTCTCTTTTTGTGTGCGAAGTAGCAATACTCTGCCTGTCGCTCCTCTCTGCTCCTTCATGCTCTGTAATGATACAGAGGCTGGAATGAGATCACATTCTGGCTCCCGGCATCATTAGACAGTGCGAGAGAGTGGCTGCAGGCAGAGTACTGCTCCCTCGCACACCGCCAACAATGCTCTGCGGACGGCCGCCTCCAATATTTCCTGTGACAGCCGCCGTCAAACCCTCCTTGGTGGCCACACTAACTGGGCGCTGTCCAATCCCAGATGCCAGGTCGAAATTTCTAGTCGCCATGGTGACCTGGCGCCTGGGATTTGTCGAGCCCTGAGCTAAGATTTCCTTTGGATATGAGTATTGAGCTATATTTGCTATGCCATATGTGGCAGACCGCTGAGTACCTACGCCAATCGTGCTTCTTAGTGATCACAGAGTACCAAAAACACTGCACTGGACACCATAACCACTGTCGTCTCTACTCCCAGTAACTCCAACTGTGGATGGGGGGAGGGATCGGTTGTCTCCTCTCCCTGTAGGATACCTTGTTGCTGAACTAAGCTGAACAGGTGTTAGTAACTCTGCTTAAAGGGACACTATAGTCACCTGAACAACTTCAGCTTCATGAGGTTGTTCAGGTGAGAACTATAGCTCCCTGCAGCCTTTCTCATGTAAACACTATTTTCTGAGAAAATACAGTGTTTACATTGAAAGCTAGGAACACCTCCAGTTGCAGTTACTCAGAGTGAACCAGAGGGACTTCGGAGTTGATGGAGGCATAATATGCTTCCATCTACTCAGATCTGCTGTCAGCAGAGCACAGGGCAGCACTGTGCACAGCATCCTGTGATTCAGTATCTCCTCCCTCTGCATGCAGACACTGTACTTTCCTCATAGAGATTCAATTAATCTCTATGGGGAGATGCTGATTGGCCAGGGCTGTGTTTGAATCATGCTGGCTCTGCCCCTGATCTGCTACTTTGTCAGTCTCAGCCAGTCCTATGGGGAAGCACTGTGATTGGATCAGGCTACCACATGTCAGGAGACTGCTTGTTTTTCTGAGTCTAACAGCATGCAGATTTACAGCTTCAGGCTTGAATACAGTAAGATTTTTACTATATTTATGGAGGCATGAAGGGTCCCGGGGGGCTAGATGGTGGTGTTAACACTATAGGGTCAGGAATACATGTTTGTGTTCCTGACCCTATAGTGATCCTTTAAGCTCCCATTCCATGGTGACCAGATAGATCAGGTCTGGACCCAGGTAGTCAGCTCGGGGGAGATCCAGCAGGGCTCCCCTAATGTCGTGGATGTCCCAGATGTGATTCTCTGGCAGACTCCCAAAGTCACCGTCCTCCTCAAAGGCCTCCCAGAACAAGCCTGGGCCACTATAGTTCTCACCCTCTGGTATGTTGTCCTCAGCCATCCACTGGTCGCGCCAGACTGCGTACCACTTTAGTACCCGGTAAGCCTCGTCCAGCCCCAGTTCCTTCCAGACTAAGTCCTGCAGCTCCGTCACCCACTCCTCCAGGGGCTGCTCTCCCAGGAGAGGCAGCCACATGGCCACTTGTACCGGGAGCTGCATATCCTCCAGGGCCTTATACCAAATCTCCTTCAGTGTGGCATCTCTGTAGTCCAGCATGCTCTCCGCTGATACAGGCCCATCCCATTGGGCCAAGTTGTACTGAAGTCTCCAGAGAAACTCCTCCTCATATGGGGACGCTGCCCAGGGGCTAGCTCGCTCCATCCTTCTGAGTTCCTCTGCAGACAGGGACGCTGTGCTAGCGCTTTCCCTCTTTTTGTAATAATCCAAACGGTGTCTCCAGGATGCTGCTCCACTTGCTAGGAAACCATGCCACCCCTGCCACCAGTTGTGGCCAACCACCTGGTACCCCAACTGGGTACCTCCGCCAATCGCGCTTCCTAGTGCTCACCGGGTACCAAAAGCACCGCATCGGACACCATCACCACTTTTGGCCCCTTAGCCTCCACAGCTTGGCTGAGGTCTCACCCTCCCTTCCCACCCTGGACCAAACACCTGGATCCAGCACCCAGTGGGAAGACCTCTCCTCCAAGAGATTATCGCTGTATAGCCAGTAAAAGAGCAGGTGAAATAGCAATATAGCTGTTCCCCCTACACATAAGCCAAGG